GGGTGGGTGCATGGGTGCGTGGGTGATTTGGTGGGTAGGTGGCTGAGTGGATGGTTGGATGCCTGGGTATTTGGGTGCTTGGGAAAGCAGAGCGCAGGATGGCAGGGGTGCCGGGTTTTGGGGGGGCGGAGGTTGGAGGGTGGGGAGTGGGTTGAGGGGTGCGAGTGAAGGATAATTGGGAAGTAGGGGGGTGGTGTCGGTCGTGCACATGGGGCGAATCCTGGCTAGTTGCAGCGCTGGGGGCGCGGGGGATCAGGGAGGGCTCCAACGCCTTGGTTGAGGTATGCAATGCGTCCAGGTGCGTTGTACCAACAGAAAAAAGCTGCAAACGGCGAGGTTTGCTTGGCACGCGGAGCCGCCTTGGTCGTGCCGTGGTCGTGCGGCCAATCGCCGGATCGCTGTGGGCGGCCCGGCCCCGTCAGAGCGCACCTCAAGCTGAGGAAGACGGCGGCCGCCTCCTGGCCCATCTGGTAGTCAGCGGTGATGTCACGAAACTGCCACCGCACCAGCCGGATGTGCTTGAGGAGAGGGTTGCCCTGCTGGCGAGTGCTGACAAGCAGCGTCGTGCTGGGCGGCGCAGACGCGACGACCGGCTGCTGCTGCTGCTGCTGCTGCTGCTGCTGCTGCTGCTGCTGCTGTTGCTGCTGGTGCTGCTGTTGCTGCTGGTGCTGCTGATAATATGAGAAGGGGCCCGCCTGCCCTGGCGCGCCCTCATTGTGGCTTGGCAGCGCAATTGAGAAGTTTAGGGCGCCCTGGCCTAATGCACGAGTCCAGGAGGCGGCGGTGCGAGCGAGGGTTGGGTGTGAATGGCCGAAGTTGTGACGGACGATGCGCACGCATGCTTCGTCCATCATGCGCTTGCATACAACATAAGCCGCACCTTGTGCAGCCCAAGAAGCTCCGCTGCCAGCGCTTGCTGCCTGTGGCAACGGCATTGCTGGTGCCGGTGCTGGCGGTCTCAGCGCTGGTGCTGCGCCTGGTTGTTGGTGTTGTTGCTGCTGCTGCCCGCCGGCTGCAGAGGACGGCCTGAAGAGGATGGGCACAGCGGCCCGCTGCTGCTCTGCTGCAGCCACCTGGGCCGCGCTAGGGATGGCGAAGCGCGGGCGAGCACCGCCCACACCCGCGCCGCTGCCATTCGCGCCCCCGCTAGCGGCACCGCCTCTGTCAGAAGGCGCAGAGGAACCTGCGGCTGGTGATCCTACAAAGCTGAAGTCGTCCATACAGTATGCAAGCCGTTCACATGCACTCTACAAAAAGAGGAAACACGATAGCGATCTGCGCGGCAAGCCCAGGGGGCAATGTGATTTAAACGCCTGCTAAATTGCTCCGCATTTATTTGACAATAGACGTGCCCGGCACCTTGCAACCCGACAACATCGGCACAGCGTGCATGTCGTGGTTACTCATCACCCCAAGCCAGCTGCTCGACCTGCCGCTTGCGTGTCACATCGATGCAGCAGCCCTCGCGCGTTGGCTACCGAATTGTTATGTGCGGCATGACTGCATTTTCTGGCCTTCTTGCCCCCTTCCCCCTAGGCATGACCAGCTCGTTTTGATGTCCCAGTGGCCAGCTTGCTTGAGCTGCATCGCTTGTTGATTTTGATCACATGTCATGTTCTCCCAGCGAACCACCACGTCAAGCTCGGATACCATGCCAATCCATGACAATGCTAGGCATCACTATATGATTGTAACTCATTTGCCAGGGCTCTGTACTTTGGCAGGCGCCCAGGAAAAAAAAATGCAAAACCTAGGTGGCGCGCAACAAGCAGATGCGCGACCACGGGCACGCCACTCGTTTGCTCAAAGGCCGACCTCCTTCATCACTCGCTTGATTGTATCCCAGCTGTGTAAGGCACATGAAAAGGGGTCGTGGGGGCGCAGAACAACCGATGTCAGTGCACATAAAAATCGCACACATCCAGAGCATTTAGCTTGAAATCTCATCCTGCAACGGAGCATAAAGCAACACAACCCTGCATGCTGGACATATGAGCAACTTCTGAATGCCCTACAAAGTGATGCTCACCTGTGCCCTCTGTACTGCAGCCGCCGCACGAGCTTGGCTCTGAGGCGATGTGCATGTCAGCAGGAAGTGTCGATGGTCACGTGTTGGGAGCTGGAATACAATACCATTTGCGCTTCTACACGCTCCACCAGGCCGTGCATGACTGCAGAAATGGCTGCAGGCGCGCAGAGCTCCAGGCCCTCACCTCCGCTTTTGGATGTCGTCCCCTTCTGACAGCTGCGCCCATCTGCAGGAAATAATCGGCGGCAAGCACGGCGACTTTCGGTTTGAGGCCGCGAATAGGCGCACAGGGTCTGTTGCAGGCCCGGCTGTGGGCCTATGGACGTAAGCGCCTGCAGCCTCACCTGCCCGCCTGCTGCACCAGCTCGTCAAAGGGGTCTGCAGCGGGGGGCGATATAATCGGCATGTTCAGGGGGCTCGCGCGCGCCGGCAACCGGCATGGTGGCCCTGTCGCGCCGCACTGCTCGGGACGGGCCCCACCGTCCAGCGCAGCCGCGTTGTCGCGACATGGCGCCCCAAAGCATGCACCCCAGCCGCTCACTTGTATCCTGGCGTGCAGTGGCTGGCGAGACGTCCTCTTGGTCTTCCTCCTCTTCCTCCTCGTCGTCGTCACCGTGCCTGGCCTGCTGCACCCTGCCACCCGGCCCAAACACCTCCTCCAGCGCTGCCTTGATATGATGATCGCCCACCCCGCGCTGTCGCAGCTCCTGAGGGACAGCGCGAGGCAGCAGTTAGAGGGCTGTTGGTGTAAAGACGAGGTCCCTCCAGCAAGTGCGGTCAGGCAGTGCAGGGGGCCAGCACGTACATGAGTCGCAAGGAATGCATTATTGACGTGAGCGTCAAGCCAGCCTGCAGGGCTGTATCGGCACTCCAGGGTCGCCCCCTCACCCGTGCAATCTGTGCCGGCGCCCTGGCGCTGCTGCGCCAGCGGCCCCGAGCAAACATGCGCGCGAACCGGTCGTCGTCCTGCAGGCCCTGCGCAGCGGTCCAGGCACCGGCCGCCGTCGAGTCTGGTGAATAAGCGCTGTGGAGGAAGCTGCATCCGCAGCGATCGACAACCATGGCTGGAACCACCTGCGCCTTGAATCGCCCCCGCTGAACCTGCGTTGGGGCGCAGCACGCTGCGTGCTGGGAGAAGCGGCCCGCCGCACGCCCCGGGGCCCCGGCGGGCCCCCTGCTGTGGCCCTGCACGGCTCCCGCTTCTCACCAGCTCCCGCATGCGCAGCACCACGCGCGCCACCACCCTCGGGTCGTAGCCGTCCTCCAGCAGCCTCCCCTGCAGCTCCCCCGAAGATCTCTCCCGGAAGTTGATCAGGCGCATCGCGCGGGACAGCGCCTTGCGGTACGCCTCGTCCTCCTCCCGGCCGCCGCCGCTGGTACTGGCGTCACCTCCGCCGCCGATGCTGTCGCTGCTGAAGAGGGTCCCTGCCGCATCGCCGCGAGAAATCTCGTCTATCAACCGCTGTGGGTGAGAAAATGGTACGGCCAGCGCAGCGCAAGTTGATGTGAGCAGGTGGGAAGCTGATTGACCATGGTTGCTCACGTAGCCAGGTAAGCCACCACACACCACAACGCCCATGCCAGCCGCTTAACACTGCAACATGGGCGGCTGCTGCAATGCCCTGCGGTTGTGCTGCCCTGCGACCTGTGATTGGTCAAGCCCAGCGACAACGAAAAGCCCAGCGACAATGCACCTTCGCCTCGTTCAGCCGTGCCTGCCTTGAAACGCCCCTTCCACTCTGGCAATCTTCATCGCCGCTGCCGCTGGGCAAGCCCGACGCGCAGCACGACACGTACCGCGCCACTGAGGGCGTTGTGCTGGTCGCGAACGCTGCTGGTGTTGGGCAGCAAGGCGAGGCCTGCGCCCGTGGTGCTGTCACCGGCGCGAAGCATGCTGCTCGTGCTGACCGTCGCCGCAGGCGCCGCAGCGTTGGGGTGCAGGCGCGCATGGCCCCCCTTAGACACGCCATGCTTGTGTTCCTGCCGGGCGTTACAGGGCCTTACAACGGATCTCAAGGGTGGCGTAGAAGAAGAAAAACTGAGTCACGACATGCAGCGTGCTGATGGTGTTGGGAGTATGCAGTATGTTGGTTGGTCACATCTGTTCGCTCAAAGGAGTTGCTAACCGGGTCACCTGATGTAATATACCGTTAAATGCCTAACGATATACCCGCGCTGAGATCTAGTAGTGATCTGTGTCACCGCGCGCGCGCGAAAGCATGGATGCTCAACAGGCGGGAGATGATGCAATTTCGACTTCAGTGAAGTTTGCGGGCGCTCTCAGCGGCGTCGTGCAGCTCGCCACATCGGCGCCGACCGTCGGGGCGCTCCGCGCTGAGGCAGCACGGCTTGCAGGCTGCTCCGCAGCGACCATCAAGCTCATATGCGGCGGCAAAACGCTACAGGTAGCCGCCCATTGCCGGCCCGGCCCATGGGCAAGGCCTCAATGAGCATGCCCCTCCCGACAGCTCCCGCCACGCCTGCGCAGTCAGCAGCCTCCTCTTGCCCGTTGAACCTGCGACGCCCTGCCGCTTCCCCAATCCGATAATGGTTTTGAAAGAATGACGCCAAGCTGCTCAGCGAGTACGGCGTCGGCCCCAGCTCTCGCGTCCTCGTCACAAAGGGCGCCGGAGCCGCGGCGGCGCTCGGCGTGGCGGAGGCGGCGCAGCAGCAGCAGAGCGCCAACGAGGCGCGGCTCGAGAAGCTCAAGGCTGGTGAGTCGAGGGGCCTCTCCAATATGAGCAAGCTGTCTGTGTGTGCTGAGATGCAGCTGGGCTACCTATTATGCAAGCCCACGTAGGGCTGGCATCACCCGAGCCGCCCTTGGTTCTCTGGACCGTTTGGCAGAGTGGACGCACACAAAGGGCCACTGCGGACACGCCCCCCCCCCCCTGCGCCATATCGCCGCGGGACTGCACGCCCGCGCAGTCGTGGCGAAGCTGTCTGGCAGGGGCGATGGCCGAGGCCTGACAGGTGGAGGGACGCTAGGCGGGGCGGGCGGGCGCGGCTGGCCGCCCATGTGTTCGATCACCGGACCCCCCATACTGTGGCCGAAGAAAGCGCCGCCTTTCGCGGGCAAGGGCTTGACACCCACCTGGGCTCCTTCGTGTCGCTGCCAGCACGCCCATGTGCTGACCCATCCCCGCCCCT